GCAGCTTGCTCTACTGCCACGCTACCAAGGTGAACAGCCAGGCATCTGGGGACAGGGATCATGGAATGTCCTCCTTTCCACACCCTGGAGAAGCTGGAGGTCAAAGAGGAGTCCACCAGGGACCAGGACAGCGCCGCCAACAGGCCACCACCTGCCCCGTGGCTTCACGGTCCCTCAGCGTGCCCCTCCCCAGTCGTCTCAGCTGAGGCAGCGGGTTGGCAGAGTTAGCTCCAGCTGCTCCTAGGTGGAGGGGCAGGGGACACTGCTTTCCTCAATGCCTGGGGACTGGGGGGGCGGCGGTCTTACAGTGGTTCTCAACCTGTGGGTCACGGCCCCCCCCAAAAGACCATCAGGAAACACAGGTATTTTTACATTACGATTCAAAAAAGTAGCAAAAAGACAGTGATGAAGTAGCTATGAAAATGATTTTATGACCGGGGGGGGGGTCACCACAGCATGAGGAACATGTATTGAAGGGTCGCAGCCTTAGGAAGATCGAGAACCACTGTTAGAAACTCCACGCCTGGAGAGTGACAAGGTGGAGCTCAGACAAGAGACCTAAGGGACCTGAGAATAGGAGAACAGAAGCTTCTGGAAACACAAAAAACCAGCAGGGATTTGGGAGCTCAGGCCATGGTGGTGACAGGCGACTATATCCAGCGACCTCGAAGGCAAATTTGGCGAGCTTCACCCTTGCCACACACATCTGCTCAACACCGTGTGTATTTCCCACATCCCTTTCACCACTACAAGGCAGGGCCATGACGCTTCTGAAGAAACTGAAACACGGAGACCTCACAACACTGAGCCAATTAGCAGCTGGACTGAGACGTGAGTTGGGGCAGATGAGGGATGTCTGGTAAGCACGCGCTTGCCAAAGGAGAGTGCCCTGAGTTCAGATCCAGCCTTTCCCATCCCTGCTCCCCTGTGTGCGCCCCTGACAGGAGCATTGACTCTTTGGTCAGCTGAGCAGGATAGCACAGGCATGGTGCCCAGCAAACATTTAAGCAATTATGGGGTTTGTCATAGCCTCCTGTCCACTACAGCATACTTCTGCTAAAAAAAAAACAAAACAAAACAAGAATAGTTGCAAATGAATTCATTTTTAACTAAATAGTTCATTATTGCTTAAACTTGAGAGACGGCTCTTAAGGACACTTAACTTAGGGATTTTTGTTTAAACATATTACTCATCTTCAGTGCCCTAGGAGTCTTCCTGTATTTTGTCCCCTGCAAGGACATTACACTCCCCTCCTCACCCTAAGCACTTTTCTGCACAAGGAGCAGACCAGAATCAGCCAAGTGTTCCCATTCTCCAATGGGTAAAACGAGGCCCAGGAGGTCCAGGAGGTCCAGAAAGACAAGAAGGGAAGGGTCTGTGTGACCCACCCCACAGACAGTGACATAGACTCTGCCCTGCCCTCTGTCCCCAGAGCTGTAAGGGTAAGGGTGTCAGGTTTGAGGAGCTTTTGTGGGCTCCCCGGCCCCGGCCCCAGCCACGCCCTACCTCTGCTCGGATGTTTTCAAATGCTAAGATCCAATCAAGCAGGCTGGCTGGGTAGTGGAGGGGGCCAACTTCCGGGGCCTGTGGTTGCTACACTCCACTTCCTTGTGATGACAGAAACCCTGTTTCTGAACCAGGAGGCCACTACCAAGGTTCTCAGGTCTCCACACAGCCCATAGAGGGCCCAGGTTCCCAGATCTATAAATCAGACAGCATGGGGGCACAGCTGGCATTGAATGGCACTGCTTAGCTTGGGGACCCTGAAAGCGCCCCACGTAATGACCCCACAGTTTCTTCTGTCTTTACTCTCCTTGACTCTTCGACACAGTCTTGATCAAAAAATGGAGGCAGCCATTGACCAAGACTTCAGAGAAACCGAATACTTGGGAAGTAGCTGCAGCAGTGAGCTATCCCAGGAAGAAGTGGGAAGGGGTGGAGCCTAGCGCTGTCCCCCTGGCTCCCTTGGTAGTCTCAAGGGCCAGTGGTGGGGCGAGCCAAGGCACCTCCCCCTCCCCAGCACACTAAAGGAAGGAAGCTGAGCAAAGGCAGGCCAAGATAAGGGAGGGGGCTAGGCCACACCAGGGGCTCTCCTCATGGTGTGGCGCAGAGCTGGGGGGCTTGAAAGGGTCTTAAACGAACTCACCATGTGGCTTGGCTTCCTCCAATTTTTAACTTTGCCAACTCGCATTTCTTGGTTGCCTCCCCCCACCTCACCCCCCCATCTGTCAGGCCTCTGTTTCTGCAGCATGGGGCTTACAGCCCTGCCTCTTCCCTCTCTGGCTTTCCTGCTCCCCCTGCTCCCCCACCCCAGGTAAAGGCCGGTCAAGCCTTTACAGTACAGGGATTAATGGCTAAAAGGATCACAGGCGGGGAGGCGGAGGGGCTGATTGGGAATCTCTAGTGTGAGGCCGACTGGCCTGGATTCAGGCACATGGGTCTGATTCCAGCCAGCAGGAGAGACCACAGTGTGAGGATCTGGGGGCCTGCTCACCTCTGGCCCTCTCCCCCACATCCTGAAAGTTCCCCTCTTTCTGACTCTAGGAGTTCAGGCCTCCAAGCGGCATTTTGTACATAGGCAGCTTCATCCCCAGGGTTCCCTTTCTAACATTCCAGGGCCTCTTTTCCCACACACATCCCTGATCAGCCCCCTATCTATCCCTGTCCACAGGGCCAGATCCCAGGGTTCACTCTAAGAGATTCTTGTGGAAATTCAGAAGGCACTTCAGTCAGAGATGAGAACGGACTTCCAGGATGTCAGAAAGACAGCTGGATTTGCCAGCAGCTAGGAAACTTTCGGTAGTGGGTAGGTCTAGGCAATCCCAAATCCTTGCTGCTCCTCCTAAATGTGCCACTGGACTGTAGTCCCCATGCCCAGTCCCTTCAGTGACACAAGTGATTTCTAGAGGTGGGACGTAAAAAGAGATCCTCAACCAAGGAGAACTCCCCCTAAAGCACATCACTGGCACCATCTGCTCCCTTTCCCAGCCCAGTCCCACCCTCAGCTCTCTGATTAGAACCTGGGTTCTGTCCAGGCATTGTCTGCCTTGCACGGCCTGCTGCCCATTGAGGTCTGGCGTGTGCCGGGCTGGCTGATCAAGAGCCAGAGGGGATGAGTGGGCGGAGTTCTCACCTTCCTGGAGCCCCTGGAAAGGCTGGCTCTTCAGATGTTCAGTTTCCCCACAACTTCATCTACACAGGTTACTCCAGGGAAGAGTATCCCAACGACCTGGGTGCAGAGGGCAGGCACCATCCCTTCTCTGTGGTCAGGGTCCCAGAAACCTCCTGATGGTGGTCCTGGGAAGGGAACCCTAGCTTTTCCCTGACTCTCTACATAGGTGCCCATGCCCCTAGGCTCTTGAAATGGGAACCCCATATTTTACCATGCCAGGCCCAGGCTGGGGCATCTGAACCAAGGGGGAAGGCCTTTGTTTGGCTCTCTCCTGCAAAATGGAGTCTAAAGGGAAGCCCCCATGGAGAGGGTACCCCATCTCCTGCCCTGTCAGTCCTGGTTCACACTGGTTGGGGGTTAGGGCTCCGTTTTCTTTTTATGGTAGGTAGCTCGCCTCTCCCCATCTGCTCTAGATGCCCGGCTCACTCGCACCCCCACCATGCGCTTCCCTCGACCTCCAAGGGTTCCCGCTGCAATGTCAGCCTCAGTAGCAGCCTGGCTCCGCCCCACCAGCCCACCAGGCACCTGCAGGGCTCCTCTTTGTCTCAGGCTGTTCAGTGCCAGGGAGAGTGTGCACAAGTGATGTTCTAAGTGCTGCAGGAGCTGCTGGGCTGGGGGCCCTCAACCTCGATCCCCCCCAGCACGTAAGCTATATACTATCGCAGTGCCTTCTCTCTGCAGAGTTGGGCATCTGCTCTGAGGCAGGAAGAGGGAACCTATTCCATCACTTTCTCTGATTTTTGCCTAGAAGCAACTTCCCGGGATCCCTGGAATCTGGGTCATCTCTGACCCAGGGGATCTGGAGATCGGTCTCAGAGACCCACCCTAGACTTTGACTACTCCCCTCCCCCACTCTACAGGACTGGAACATACGCTTCTGTCCATGCCCGAGTTGGTGACCAGCTCCTACATTGGTACTCTCCCAGTACATCCTCAAAAGAGAAGACCCCAGAACCCAATCAAGCGAGCTGGCTAAGAGCATCTCCACCCAGCACAAAGAACACAGATGTTCAACTTTGTAGCATTTCCTGGCCCTGCACCTGTGTGCCCCTTGTAAAAGAACCCACCCAGCCGTGTCCTCTTCCCTCCTAATGTCTGCCAAATCACTTTTAATACCTACAGATATTGGGAATGGGACTCCAGATAAATCGAGGGGGTCTCCTCCTTGCTCAGTTTCACCTATTTGCCTGTGAATGTAGCATACGGGTCGTGACACCCCTTTTCACCCCTTCGGGGTTAGTCTCTCAGATATACCTTTCCCTTCCTCCGCTAGCTCCATCTCCTTTTGGGGCAGGACCAGCAGGGTTCTCTCCAAAAGCCATTGGCACCCTGTGGAAGGCCGAGGCACCATTCCAACCCTTTCATGGGTCCCACAACCGATCTTTGTCTGTAGTACCCGCTCCCAGGATGGTGAGCTGAATCAAGAGCATAGAACTAGCTAACTGGGGTAGATGGGGGGAGGGGGGAATCCCTCCTATACCCCAGAATGAGACAGCAGCCTCATGGGGAGGCGAAGAGGAAACACACAGACGCTCCGGCCTGGGCCAGGGCTGGGTGTGAAATACCGGATTTCCTTGTTTATTCGATTTTCTGATCATTATGGGCTCCCAAGAGGGGCCAGAAATTACCACCCAAACAAAGCCACCTTCCATCAGTCCGCAGGGCCGCCGCTCCCCTGCGGCAGCCGGGCCAGCCAGCGCGCGTCGGCCCCTCCTCCTGGACTGCGGGCTCCAGCTCGAGCGGTGCCCGCGCCCCCCGCCCCGAGTCCACGCGAGACAAAGCCCGAGCCCCTTCCTCGCATGCCCCTTCTCCGCCATCGGCGCTCACCTGACGGCCACTTTGACGCAGCAGTCGCCCTGGCCAGCCATGGTCCTCTGGCACTAGGGTCTGGGCGCGGATCAGGGGCGGGGGTCCGGGGGCCACAGCTCCAGGCAGCGTCTGCGGCTGCAGGAGGCGGAGGCACGGACACTGCTAGCGAAAGCGACCTCGCAGGCTGGAGGTGACATGCTCGCTGGAGGCGGCGAGGGGCTCACCCGCGGCCGGCCCCACGGGGCTGGTCCCGCGCGTCTCCTCCAGCCATCGCGCCGCTGCGCTGAGCTAGCTGACAGCGGGCGGTGAGACCCGCAGCTCCCTACGGCGCGGCACACGCGCGCACACACCTCCCACCCTGGCAGCCACCTCCCGCCGCAGCGCGAACAAAGGGGGCGGGGGCCGAGCCGCCCCGGGACCCACCCCCAGCCCCTCAGAGCCGCACGGGGCTCCGCCCCTCCCTGGAGCCACCAATAGAAAGCCCCAACGAGCAGCAGAGGCGGGACTTGAGCCTTTAAAGGGACCTCTTGGCTCGCGTCCATTGGGTTGCTGGGAGGAGCTGGGAGGATTGGAGGGCTTGCGGGGGTGGTGTGAAAGCCGGAGTGGCATGATGGACTCATCGCTGGGAACTTGACCATTCGGGAACCTCGGCCCTTGAAGTCATGGTACCTCAGCTTCAGCGGGACCTTCCTTTGCTAAATGGGGAACGGGACTCAAAGAGGAACAGGCCAAGGTCATACAGCGAATCTGTGGCTAGGCATGGGTAAGAACCCTGGCCTCTGGGCAGTGTGCAGCACCTCAGAGCATCCCACAGCGATTAGCAATTCGCGATTTGAAAAAGCTAGAAAAGCTTCCCTTCTGCATTTTATTCCTGTAAATTCTCTAACCTTTATTGAAGGGGATTCTTGTTAATGTCTAAGTAAATTTCCCCACCTCCATCCTGCAACATCTTAAAGCCCATCTTTTGCTTTGATTGCCGGCCAGCTCAGACTCTCCCTGCTAGACGAGGGTCCCATTGACCTTTATGACCCACAGATGACCCACTGGGCCTGCTTCACACTCTGCTTTGTGACGGTGGGGGCAGAGGGTCAATGTGGGAGGCCAGAGCTGCCTGGGAGGTGGTAGGAACAAAGGGGCACTTCACTCCAGATACCTGGGAGAGGCTGGACGGCCGAGTGGGTGGGAAAGGAAGGCGGCCAGCAGCTACCATCACAGCTTTATAGAAAGGACAAGGGGGGCAGCCCTGGAGACATGAACACAGGGCCTGGAGAGAGGACACCAGGGCTGTGAAGTCACAGTCCCCTTTCCAGTTCCCCTCCCCGCCCTCTGAGCCCCACTCCTCCCTGCCCCCCAACTCCCAACATTAGGGCCATTCACAGGGCCCCTCACTAGCTGCCCTTCCTTCACTGGCTTCGCCCGGCTCCCTCCTCTGGAAAAGGCCCAAGAGGAGGACCCAGCTGCAGCTCAAGATGTGGATGGAGACCTCTGGGGGAGGGGAGGCAGGGAACCTAACTCCCAAGCTTCTTACATCAGCCTCAGATGATGAAACCATGTCAGAGATTTTGGCAAGTGTGTGGGTTAGGGTCTCAAGGATCCAGTTATTGGTGCCATCATCTCCCCCCGCCCCAGCACCTCCCCACCCCCCACAATCTGCCCAGGAGCCCCAGATCCCTGTTTGGAATAATTTTAAGGGGACATTTCAAAGTTATATATCAGTACACTGTTTGTACCCTCACAGCAAACAGGAAGAGAGCCATACCCCAGAGTGGTGGCAGTGGTGGTGATGTGTGTGAGGGGTCCTGGTGAGACCCTACATATTAATATTAGCATCTGAAACCCAAAGCCAGTGAATCACATCTCTTAGAGCAAGAGGCAAGCAGGGCGTTGAGGGATTGAGACCCTCCCTGTCTTCCAACCGAAACAGGATGTAGGGAGGTGAGTGGTGTTTATGGACCATCTACACAAGCTTTATGTTCATGTTCTTGTTCATCCTCCTAACCTTATGAGCTAGGGTCTAGTGTTCTTTTTCAATTTTGCAAGTGAGGAAATAGAGTCTCATAAGCAGCAGAGGATTTGAACTCACACATGTGACTCTAGGCTTCCTATCACCTCTAAGGGAAGGCCGGTGGGAAAGGGAGCTGGACTGGCCCAGCTTTCCCTGCGGGTACCACAAGCTCCAGGCTTAGCCCTCCTGGATGATAACCGTGTCCCTTCACCAAAATGCTCACTCTCCCATCCATCTCTGGACTTCTTTGGTACTTAGTTGTGGTTTCCTGTTTGCCATAAGTCTTCTCGGACCTCCAACAGTAGATGACCCTTCTGACTCACAGTTCCACTGCTGGGAAATGCCACCAGAGCTGTCCCCTCTGCATCCTCTGACGTCCAGGGTGTCCAGTTAGGATGAGCAAGGAGGTGCATGGGCTGCAGATGCGGACCTCCTAGACATTCCGGTTCCAGGGTTCCAGTTTCCCCCGCCCACTTCAGCAGCTCCCTCCTAGGCCATCAAGGAGCAGCTGGGTGGCAGAGGTCCAGACCCTGGACTCCCAGGCTCTGCTGTTCAGAGGGGAGGGACTAACGGCGCTGAGGTCATGTGGGGATCCCAGGTGAGAAAGAGGCTTATGCTTTGCAGTTTGGAGAGATTTAGATTAGGTCAGAGGAAGCCTAAAACAAATCTCTGCCTTTTTTGAGCTCTATCCAGCCTCAGCAACCATTGCTTTGCTTTGCTGTGTTCCCACTTCCTACCTCTTCCCAGCTGCTCTTCTTTCCTTCTCTCCTTCCTAAACCCTGACGTCTCTCAGCATCAGCTACCGTATGCAGCTCTCAGTGCTTCATACACACACACACACACACACACACACACACACACACACACACACACACACACAGAGAGAGAGAGAGAGAGAGAGAGAGAGAGAGAGAGAGAGTTGGCCCCGAGCCCCTAACTGGACTAGAGTATAAGCCCTGACTCCTATTCTGAGCTGCGTCCCTTCCCCCAGGCATCTTGGGTCCTCCATCATTTCTCCTGACAGGAGCTGTGGGCGTCTGGGCAGATGGGAACCTAGGGGAGGTGTGGGAAGCCCCCTCCAAGTCAGGAAGCTCCCACGCAACTGCAGTTAAAATACTCCAGCAGTGACTTAGGGCAGCCATCTGGCCCAGGGCTCTCTTAGACACATTCCACTTTTTAACAGCAATGCTGTGGGAACACATAAAGACAGCGAAGGGATACCCATAGGTACCAGGAATGTTCCCAAGGGGGCCTGAGCTTGGGTCTTCCTCCTCCCCCACCCCCTTTCAGGGGTGGCACTGGGCGATAGCATTGCAAAGTCTAAATAAGCCCTGGTGTAAAGTAGTGACTACGGAGCTCGGAACTTGGAGTTCTAGTCCCAAGCCTTTCCCAGCAGCTGTGTGTGGTTCTGTGGGAGCAGAGGCCTTAGCCCGTCCTCCAACAGTGTCCTCAGCAGATGTCCAGCTATAACCTCCCATGTCCAGCCAGAGGCAGGGCCCGTTCTTCCCACCAGCAGGAAGCTCGAGACCCCAGAAAAGGTCCGTGGAGCTGCAGACTCAGGAGATCTGAGGGCAGACATGGACTGTGCCTCACTTCCTGTGTTTAGGAGGAGACAGACGAAGCCACGGAGGAAACCAGAGTCTGTTATAAATAGCAAGGAAGGCAGAGAGCTGTGGGTTTCAAACACCCATCAGTCTTAAAACAAACTCTATTTTTGGCTCCAAATAAAAATTAGGATTTAATTAATGTTCTCTGTAACCTCAGACATGTTTCTATTTCTTTTTTTTTTTTTAAAGCAGAATCTTTCCATGAAGCACAGGCTAGCATTGAAACTTGTGATCAGTGCTAGCCTCAGCCTCCCAAGCACTCCAGGCATACCTCATTGTACATGGTTTTTTTCTCTCTCTCTCTGGTTTTTTGAGATGAGATTTTTCTGTGTAGCCCTGGTTGTCCTAAACTTACTCTGTAGAACAGACTGGCCTCGAACCTAGAGATCTGTCTGCCTCTGTCTCAGTGTGCTGGGACTAAAGGCGTGCTCCGCCGCCGCCGCCGCCGCCACCACCACCACCACTACCCTGTTATACATGATTCCTAATTAAACGTGGTGATGTTAACTACCCTTCTATTTTGCTGTACCTTTTTAACAGTATCGATGTGGCAATTCTCAACGTCACCTAGACTCAAAAAGAACGCCCGGGTCACCTTTTATTTTCAAGTGAAAAAAAACCTGAGTCCCAGGGAGGTAGAGACTTGTCGAAAGTTGCACAGTACAGTAAGTAGAGGCTGAGCTGCAAGATGGGAAGCCTGGCAGCTGTGCTGTCCCAGGGCAGGCTCCATGGCAGCACGATAAGGACCCCAAGGCTAAACATCTGAAATTAGACTGTGGTGAGTTTATAGTCCTGACAAAACTTTGGTCTGAGTGAAATAACGAAAGACAGCCCAGAGGCTGAGTTGTGATCTTCTGAGTCACGGAGATCTGGGCTCACATCCCAGTTCTTCCCCTTATGAGCTATGTAACCCTGGGCCAGTGATGTAACCATGCCCAGCATCAGCTCCCATGTCTCAAAATGAGGAGGATCACGTTCTCAGCTCAGGACCATGATGAGGTCTCAATGGGAGAACCTGTACCACACATCCCACCCAGTGCTCACCTCAAAATGGGTGTCAATCCTTCACATTGTCCTCGGATTCTCCACCTTTTCTCCAATAGACTCCACCTCTGTCTGGACAGAGGGGTGGGTTTATTAAAAAGAAGAATACCAGGAGGGAGAGGCACTCTCAGGAATGAGTGTGAACAGGGCTAGGAGGGGGCAGGTTATGAGGATGAGGTGTCATTAGGGTGGGGGCTGGGATGGCGTTCAATGGTAGAAGGATTGTCCTGCGTGCTTGGAGTCCTAGGTTCATCTAGGCAGTCAGTGTGAGGTCTGCTGGGTGGAGAGGGGAATCTGCAGGAACTTAGCCACCCTCTGCTGACTACACATGGCAGCGCCTTGGGAGCCAGGGTGCTTTCCAGGAAGAAACTTTAGCCTTATGGACCCTTTTGTACACAGGTAATTCTGGACCACCTCCCCTAGGGGGCAGTCCTCTGAAAAGGAAGAGTTTGTACTCACCCTATAACCACACTGAACTGTATTACATACATGTTCTCATCCACCCTCACAATCATCTATGAGGTGCACAGTTAACATGCCTGTTTTGCAAAAGAGGAAATGGGCTCAAAGGTCACTTGGCTAGGGTAGAGTCATTAGTGCTGTTCACATATTTCCTGCACTCTGCCTTCCAGCATAGGGCAGGACTACCTGTCCTTAATCCTTGGATAGTAAGTGGCCACGTGACTTTAACCAATAAAAGGTGAAGCTTTAAGAGCCACG